CGACCACCACGCACTCCCAGAAGGCCTGCCAGAGCAGGGTCGTGCCGCTGGCCGAGTAATAGTCAAACAGCTGGAAGACATACATCCCGCCCTGGGGACAGAGCCGGGTCAGGGAAGGTGGCAGGCGGCCGGAGCCCAGGGGCGGCCCCCACCCCGCCCCCACTCACATCAGTCACCATGGAGAGGTCGATGACAAAGCAGAGGGCACAGCAGAGGGCCACAGAGATCTCCCTTTGGAAACGGAAGTAGTAGGAGGCCGGGAGGAGGTCGAGCAGGCCGGTGATGAAGCCTTCCACACCTACAAACTGTGGCCAGGCGCTGAGGCCGCGCCCCTCCCCCTCCCCGCCAGCCCTCTCCCCTCCCCCAGTGCTCCCCCCACTCCGCAGCCAGTCCCCTCTGTTCTGTCACCCCCTGCAAACCTGGCTGTCCAGGCCAAGCAGCAGCAGCATGAAGAAAAACAGGGCAGCCCAGAGCGGGGCCACAGGCATCAGCGTGACGGCCCGGGGGTAAGCGATGAAGGCCAGGCCAGGCCCTGAGGGGGAAGGGGCAGGGTTTAGACAACAGGTGTGCCCCACCTGCGTCCCACTGTTGTCCTTGCTTGCCCCCACTCACCGCCCCCCCCCATCCCAAACGGATGGAGGACTCCAGGGCATCCCGTGGCCCAGGGCCCTTCCACTCGGGTCAAGGTGTTGCCGGGTGTCACTCAAGTCCCTGAGAGTGGGCTGTCTAACTCAGACTCCTGGTCTCTTATCCCAGCTGCTGCTGCGGTCACGGGTCCCTGTGAAGCCCGCAAAGGCCCTCCTCTCCCTGGGCAACCCTCTGGCCAACGTGAGGGGCGGTCGGTTTCTGTAGCGTGGTTGATCACGTTCGCCTCACGAATGTGAGGGGCATGGGCCAAGGCCCTGGGGATGGGTGGACGGGAGGGAGCTCCAGGCTCCGTGTGGCCTGGCCCACGAAGGCTCCGGCTCTGAGCTGGCCCCGAACAGCTGCTCAGCCGGGCCTTCCGCTGGCCCGGAGCGACGGACGACGCGACGGGTCCAGCGCGCGCTTCTCTCGTCTCCCAGACTTGCCTCTTTGCGCGCGTGTGCGTGTGCACGCGCGTGTGTGTTCATGAACAGGGCAGGTTAGGTCGGCAGCTGCGGCCTGGGGGCCGGGCTAAGGGGCGGGGTCTTTACCTGACTCCGCCACTTTGGAGATGTGCACGCCCTGCTCTGCGGCCATGAAGCCCAAGATGGAGAAGACCACAAAGCCAGCAAAAAAGCTGGTCCCGCTGTTGATGAGTGCCAGGATGATGGCGTCCCTGGGGGCAGAGGGGCCGCGCGGGCTGGTTAGGCTACCTGCTGCCCGCGGGCAGGCGGGCGGGCGGGCGGATGGCTGGGCGAGGGCACCTACTTGTAGCAGTTGTTGTTGAAGCGGTTGTAGCTGCCCAGCGCCGTGAGGGCCCCCAGGCCGATGGCGTAAGAAAAGAAAATCTGGGTCCCAGCATCTATCCACACCTACGGATGGGCCGGGCAAGGGAGGATGTGAGGGAACCTGCCGGCCTGGCCCGCCCCCTCATCCCGTCCGCCCCCACCTCACCTGAGGGGACCCCAGCTTCGACCAGTCAGGCTTGAGATAGTAGATGACCCCATCCAAGGCGCCAGGCAGCAGCACTCCGCGCACCAACAGCACAACGAGGACCACGTAGGGGAATGTAGCGGTGAAGTACACAATCTGGGGGGCCAGGCTGCTCAGAGGGGCCCTGCGGCACCCGCCTCCACCCTTAGGGGGCCCCGGCTCGGCAGGACGGCCAAGTGGGCCACCCTGCCCCCACAACAGCATGGCATGTTCTGAGGTCTAGAGGGAGGCTGGCTGGCAGCCCCCCTTCGACTCCTCAAAGCCTAGGCTCCTCCCAAAGGAAGCTCAGCGCTCAGCTGGAGAATCAGCCACCCCGTGGCAAACACAGGTCAGCGGCAGAGGGAGGGGAGACGCAGGGCCTTCCCCAGGCAGGGAACGGGTCGTCAGCCTGGGGGCAGATCCCATGCCTCCCCCAACAGCAGGTCATTCTCTGCAGAGAGGCAGAGTCTTTCGTAGGCGGGATGAGACTAGGCCCGCCAGAGACGGTGGCGAGGGCCACATGGACCCCAAAGACGTCTGCCTCCTGTCCACGCCGAGTAGAGCAGGACAGGCAGGCAAGGGACAGCCATAGCCCAGGTCCCCCCCCCCCCCCAGGCCAGCACAAGAGAGAGCGAGTGAGGAACAGAGAGAAGGTGGGGCGGCCGGGGAGGGCCTCCACACGGGCAAGGGGCAGCTGCTGCCTGGGCTTCTCCCCACCTCAGGAGGGAAGGCTGCTGGGCTTGACTTTGGAGGGGCGGGGAGGACTATCCAGGCATGGGTGGGGATCGAGTGGTCTGGATTCACGGACCTGCCCCCTGCTCAGGCCCTGGCCCTGGTCACCTCCTGTTGCAGCAGTGGTCCTTGGCAGAGACGCCCCTTCTGTCCCCCATGCCCCACCACGGCCCTGCCATCACCATCACCATCCCCCGCCCCCCCGCCCCGCCCCCCCAGCCCTGCCGGCCTCCAGCCGTACCTTTCCTGTCGACTTGACGCCCTTCCAGACACAGAAGTAGACCAGCACCCAGCAGGCCAGCAGACACAGGGTCACCTCCCAGTTGAGGGCCCCTGGCACCTCCAGCCCCCCGGAGAGCCGTAAGACTTTGTTCCTGGGGGAGGGACAGCCCATGAGGGCTGTGCCAGCAGAGGGCCCAGCACCTGGGAGCTGCCCCAGGGGTGGTGCTCCCTGCCCTGCAGCCCTCGAGTCCAGCTGGGCCCAACCGCAGCCTGCGGCCCGGAGGTTTGTGCAGTGTGTGAGCCTGAAGCCCAGGAGCCACAGGCCAGAGCCAGCAGGACTGGTAGCCGGGCCCCACGGCCCCCTCAGCCTGCATGGTGGCGATCCCTCCTCCCCGGCTGGCAGGCACAGTGGAGTGACAATGCCTGGGACTGAGAAATGGGGAAGGACCAAGGCCAATCCCTTCCAGCTCCTCTAGAGGCTGTGCTGGGGGCTCCCTGAAGACAGGGCCTGGGAGTGACCCCTGCTCTGCGTCCCCTCAGGGCTGAGCCCCAGCACGCATAGACTCGCAGACTCAGGCCCTGTGTGGAGCCCAGAGAGAGGGACAGGCAGAGCCTGGCCCAGAGGCGCCTGACTCACTCCCAGAACTCGATGACAGGGGACCGGCGGTCAGCAAGCTGGTCACATGTGAGGTTGGCCAGGCTGGCATTGGCACAGTCTTCATGGCGGAAGATCTCCACACAGTCGGGAGTGTTCCAGGTATGGCCACATGTGGCCCAGGGCAGTGTGGTGGTGAAGGACTTCACCAGGTAATAGAAGCCCCAGGCCAGCACCATGATGTAGTAGGTGTTGCAGTAGAAGACGATCACCATGGAGGCGTAGCCCAGGCCTAGGGAAGGAGTTTCTGTGTGGGCTCTTCTCTATAGCCACCCGCCCCCCCATCTACCCTACTAGTCTCCAAGAAGTCTCCGGAGCACGACTGAGAAGATCTGGTGGGAGGACGGTGGGGAGTGGGAGGACAGCAGATGCAGAGAGCCCCCTGGACCCTCCGTTGTGCCAGTGTCCCAACACCAGGACAACTCCCCAGTCTGTACCTGCCCCTGCTCCTGGCTTCACCTCCTGCATCCTCCCTCGAGCCTTCCCCTCTTGCCCCAATCTGAGCATGAAGTCCCGTAAATTCCCTAGCCTCACACACCTGTCCCCTTCTCTTGGGTCCCATTGCCACCACGGTGGTTGAGGGAGGGCCAAGCCTCCAACCTGGGTCCCTAGTGGCCTCCAGTACTCAGCAGCTGGGGGCTTTCTGGTGACCTGGGGCCGTACGGGAGACAGTCACCCTCTCAGCAGGCAACCCTGGCCAATCAATTCGACTCTCTGAGCCCCGGCTTCCCCAGGGTCCCTCCTAGGGCCTTGAGAGATAATGGGGGCATACTACCCACACTCAGAAGGAACTCTAAAGTGACCTTTGACAATAGTTCTTCCCTTCAGACCCTGAACTCCATGGCTCCCGTCCAAGCTCCTTAGGTTGGCCCTCTGGCCTTGGGGGAACAGGCCCTGGGCAGTGCCTCGTGCTGTCAGCTCTCAAACCCTCTGCTCAGGCCCCTGGGGGGCCAAGCGTGCTTGGCAGGGCCTGTTCCCAGCCCTGCTGGGCCTGGGCGTCCTGGCCTCAGTGGAGAGGCCAATCCCCAACTCCAGTCCCCATCTGCCCAAAGGTCACTGGGTGGTCTGCAGGTCCTCCAGCGTTCCCTTCATGACTTGGGGGGCACCAGTGGGACCCTGGCCTGGTGCTGTGATAGGACAAGATTTCTCAAGTGGGCCCCAGCTTTGCCCTAGCAGTGGGAAGGGGGAGGGGCCCCTGAGGGAGAGGACAAGAGGGATTGGCCTGGGGCTGCTCACCTTTGAACAGGGGGCAGATGTTCCAGACGTTGATGCTGCCGGCCTTCATGAACTGGCCCAGTGAGATCTCCAAGAAGAAAATGGGGATTCCTCCAACCAGGGCGATCAGGACATAAGGGATAAGGAATACACCTGGGGGAGGAAGGAGAGGGTGGGCACTTGCACAGGGCAGCCCTTTAGCCCCTGGCTGGCCAGTGCAGCTTTCGGAAGCCCTGGGAGTCAGGGTGGAGCCAGCTCTGGGCCCCACCCTGGCCCCATCATAACTTCCCGCTGGGTGAATCAGTGCAGGGGGTGGCCACTGACTCAGAGGTGCAAGGTGAATAGCCTTGTGGGGAGAAGGGGGCTGGAGTGTTGGGAGGGCTGTGGCAGTCCCTGGGCCCTTACAGCCCTGTTTCTTGGGTTTGAGGGGCCCTATACCCACAAGGCTTCTGGCCCCACAGTCACCTAGGGTGACCTAACAGGCATGGAGGACACATACACCGTTGTGTCGCAGTTCCCTGTTTGCTAGGCAGCACAGGAGAGAACGGTGTGTTCGTGTGTGTGTGTGTATGTGTGTGTGCCATGGCTGGCACTCCGGCCTGGGGGGACTGTCTGGCTTGGGCAAGGACAGGGAGCCCCGGATTTCCCTGCCCCCAGGCAGTTGCCTGCAAGTATGATGGTCCACGGCAGAGAGTGGGTGGGTGGGTGGGTGGCAGTCCTTCATCAGGGGGCATAGGGGGTATCTGGAGGTGTCAGTGATCAAGGACGGGGAGACAAAGTGGGCTACAACAAGCTCTGGTGAGCCTGGCTCTGGAGACCAGAGATCACAGGCCAGAGGTGGGGAGTGGGTAAGGGGAACCGGACACCAGCAGCCCGCCTGCTCCCCTTTCCTCTCCAGGTCCCCTACCGATGCCCCTGTTCAGCTTTGCACTACTCAGAAGTCAGGCTTGGCTGCAGCTTGGCCAGCTCCTGGTCCCAGCATCCTTCTTGTGTGTGACCTTGGGCCAAGGCCTTCACTCTGGGCCTCAGTTTCCCACCCATCACCCAGTTGCTATGGCCTTCCCCCCACCCCAGTGCTGCTTTGCAGTCACACGACGCGCGGGTGCCTATCGCTGTTGCTCAGCTGGGCTGGGGCAGGCGAGCACGGGGTGCGCATGCAGTGTGTCCAGCGGCGGCGCCAGGCGGCCCAGGCCGCAGGCTACCCAAGCCTGGCTCAGGCACCCAGTGTTCCGGGCCCAGGCTGGAGGGGAGGGGAGGGGAAAGGAGGGGAGGGGAAGGGAGGGGAGGGGAGTGAGGGGAAGAAGGGAGGGGAGGGGAGGAGAGGGCAGGGGGAGGGACAGAGTAGCCCATTGTGTGTGTGTGTGTTCGTGTGTGCACACGTGGGGGCCCCACACAATGTGCCACTTGTGTGCCTGACCAGCGGAGGCAGCCTGGGCTCCTCACCTCTGGAAGCCCCCCCCCCGCGCCCCGCCGCCCGGGGGCAGGCCTCGCCTTCCCACCTCAGTGGCCAGTCACTCCCCGGGGAGCCCCTGCACCAGGAGTCTGGGGGGAGGTCGTCCTGGGGCTTCGGCAGGAGGCTCCCCGGCCCCCTCCCCCCACACACTGCCAGGCACATGACCGGCTTGGGGGTGGAGGCCGCCAGCCGGGGCCACCGAGCAGCAGTGGCCAGCGAGGGGCGGCCTCCGGCACCCCGTACCCCGGACTTCGGCCCTGCGCCCCAGTGGGGC